TTCTGCAGACTGTAAGACTGCTTGTTAATGATGATATCAAATATACCTGGATCCATGCTGAAAGCACGCTGTTACACTAAAATTTAAAAATGGCATTTCAAACCCATAAAACTGAAATCTGGAATGTTTCAATCAATACTTATCTACTTACACATACGCTATAGGCACTTTCTCCAAATGTTGATCTGGTTGACAATGCTGTCTAACTTCATCATTAGTCACAGTCGCATTACCTGCTGTTTACTCTTAAGTCTGTGAATGCATACAAAGGTACATGTGTGTGTGATTATTGTAGGACTCCTTTTTTGTGTTTTGTTTTTATTGTTAATGCAGTGTGTGCCGTTATCTTGTGTTTTTTGAAGGTGAAGAAGCTAAACTCAATGATAGTGGAGAAGAAGTCTGCGCTAGCACCAATTATTAAAGAACTGAGGTCACTGAGACAGCAGAGTCAGGTGAGCATCATCTGAATTATTAAACGAGAACTTCAAAGAAACCTCACGGCACATCAAACGGTGTTTGTAAAGACAGTTTGATGTGCCAAAGACCACATCAAAACAAGGACCTTCAGCTCACATGACAAAACAGCATCCCTGTTTAACACCCAGCCTGTCAGGAAAAGGATCCTGGCAAGAATTTGGTACGGATTTTTCATTACAGAGTATAACTTTCAGAAAGAGTGGGTAATTCATGCTCCAAAATATCTTCGGTGAGTCCTAATTCTGTTTCTGCGAACAAGTAGAAGTTCACTTTAATATTATGCTACCATGGACAAGGTCCATTAAGAGTAATTTGCATGATCCATAAATAAATGTATAATGGGAAAGCATCCTGCATCCCTGAGCTGGAGCAGAGAATTTAATTTTCCTACATGTGTGCCCAGAATTGCTCTTACATCTCAATGTGTCACGTCTGTTAATGAAGAGCTGCAACTGGAAGACATAAATAGACTCTGTAAGTGGTTAAAGTGCTAAAACTACAGCTGGGATCTTTTGTTGACATTAAACAGTGCTGTGAGCAGGACACGAGTGTTGATAATAGTGCATTTGTCTCAGTTCTTACTGTCTAGTAATGGATTTGCTTTTCTGTTCCGGTGTGTCCTGCTCGGATTCTTCATAGGAGTTAGGCCAAGAGTATGAAGAAAAGAAGGCACAGTATGAAAGCTGTGCTGCTGGTTTGGAGAGCAACAGATCAAAACTGGAGCAGGTATAATTATTATAGTGCAAGGGTTTCATATGCACAGCAGTTTAGGTGAATTTTACGTGCTTTTTTCCCCGTGTGTTAGTACATGTTTGATCTTTAGCATGGTTATATAAGAACGTCCATCTTCTCTTTAAATCACAGGAGGTGAAAGCACTGAGGGATGAGATGGCACAGAAGGAAAACCGATACCATCATATCAACACCATGTCACAGGCAAGTATTTTGAAAAGATACAGTAGTTACGGTACTTAAAGCAGGACCAAAGACTGTGCACGGTTATCGCTGTTTTCAAGCCAAATTAGAAACATGAGTGCATACAATGCTGCAGCATTTTGTAAGCCACCTGCCCCCACAAGCACCCACTGGCACAAACTGTAAACTCGGATCTGTGCCTCTCTGTCCTCGGCAGATCCTTGAGATGCAAATACAGAGGGCAGCTGAGGAGATGAAGGCCTACGTGTCTCCCGATCCGCAAGAGAAGAAGAAAGCCATGAGGTGAGCCTGCTGAGCCAGGCCAGCCAGCTGCTTGCGAGATGAATGGCCTTTTTTATTTCAGCAGGCTCTCATTACAATAAAGCCAGTTAATCTACTGCCACCGTTTCCTTGCTGTTGTGATGACACACCTTTATTTTTAATACGTGGGGTGAAATCAGCTTAAGAAATGGCTGTTGCACACATGTTACTAATCTTCCTCTTGTTCACTGTAGGGAAGTGTACATGAAGAATATTTCCGAACAGGAGTTACTTGGCAAGGTGAGAAAAGTGTGCTGAGCGAGTGCTGACCTAGCAGATTCTAGGACGGGTCAATACTTGGAAATATTCCTTTATTCTGTCAAGAACATGATCTGAGGACACACAGGTTAGCCAAGGAGGTTTCACAGAGTTTGCTTTGGAAGTAAAGTAATGCATAGTAAGGAATGCACCTGAACATTCACATCAGGACACAAAACAAAACAGTAAATTGTATGTATTACTCTATAAATGTGCAAGCAAATTCTTTATAGAATTCTCTGGAAATGCCATAAATGTGCATCTAGTTTGCTGAGTTAAGGTTATATTAAGATATATGGCATCAAATCTGAATTCTGTCTTTGAATAAATGGCTGTTGTTTTTATCTCAGGTCTTCAGAGGACAGTAGAATGTCATAATGAGACAGATTTAACATAGTTTTGTTTGCACCAGGTTGGCACAAATGTGATCATGTTGGGGTTCATTTAATTTTGAGCAAACGGAGGTATTTTTCACCAATCTCTTTTCACGTGTGGTCTCCAGAAGTTGCGAGAGGAACAGAAGACGGTGAGGGAGAGCCACAGCGCCAACATGGAGCAGGTGAAGATGTGGCGTGACCTAGAGCAGCTGATGGAGTGCAAGAGGCAGTGCTTTATAAGGGCAAAGAACCGGGAGTCTATCGGTCAGATCATCCAGGAGGGAGGGGAGGACAGGCTGGTGCTGTGAGGAGTCATCTAGGAATGATGGGCTGTGATTCCACTGAGTTCAGCTTAACAGAGTTTCTGTCATCGTTCTGTCACAGGCTTAATTTTCCTCATCTATCTCTTCTCTTTATACTCGGCTGTTGTTTCACTTGGAACTTTAGAACCAGACCACTAACCTAAAGAGGTGGCGTGGTTTAAGATGCTTTTGAATCGCCAACTTAAAGAACACGTGCAGCGGCACAGGGGTTTTCACTTTCTCTGGCCCACAGGAGACTCCTTTCAATCAGACTGTCCAAAGATAACAGGATACAAAGTGGTGCTCTTGGGATGTGGCCACAGTCAACTATTATTGGCACTGCCAACCATGACCTTGAGCATGGGTTGAGATTCCAGTTTTGGAATTCACTGGGAGCCCCCACTGCATTGAAACGGTCAAAATATTCTGCTTGTGGAATACTGTAATGGATCCTTTTTTCAATATGGTTGTTAATATTTTCTGTGTATTTCTATTAAATATATTTAATAATGATTTTGACTCATGTTTTCATTGTGACAGTGAGAAATGTATGAATGTAAATTAGGAAAGCTATATAGACTGTTGGAGTTTAAAAGAGCAGTTGGTCTGTCCTATTCATTGCCTTCATTTGTTCTGTTTTGTTTTTTCACCATGAATCAATTTTGCATCATATCTGAAAGCAAAAACTTTTATTTGGATGATGAAGATTCATATATCTTTTTTAGCAGGTAACACGACACACACGTCTGCCCGCTGACTTTTGTGTGTGACACGTCATTCCCAGCAAATGTCTTCATGGATGTTTCAGGGTCTCGACCTCCCCCTCTCCCATAGGAACTTAATCTCCTGTTGACAGCCAATGTTAGTGGCCCTTGTGCCAAACGGATCAAGTGTGCTTTGTAAAAGGCTGCTCGATGTCCAGCTGGCTGGTGCCATGTTATTGTTGTTACAACACCTTGTGCTTCTTGGGACCTTATTAAGACATATTAACAGATGATGCACGCCAGTCCTGTAAAACATCTGACAG